TCCGAGGCAGAACTTGCGATCAACATTCGGAAAGCTACAAGCATCGAGGAGACCGCGCCGAAACGCAAACATGTTCGTAGCTGTATTGTTTATACATGGGACCATAACAGCTCGGGTGCCTTCTGGGCTGGTATGAAAGTGTCAGTCTAAACCCTTTTGTACATGAATTGCAAAGACAACCTACCGGGCATTAGAAGCTCATGGGGTTCCAATGATTCATTGATCTGGAAAAAGACGGCAATGACTAACTTCAAATCGTTTTTACAGGCAACCCATTCTTGCAGATGAAGTCCAAACATTCAAGGCGTTGATTACCGTTCACAAGGTTTTACAAGAGGGTCATCCATCGACTTTGCGTGAAGCTATGGCGAATCGAAGTTGGCTCGACAGTTTGAGTAGAGGCATGTCTGGCGAAGGTATGCGGGGTTATGGACCTCTGATAAAAGAATATGTCAACTTTTTGATGTCCAAATTGAACTTCCACCAACAGCATCCTGACTTTAATGGAACATTTGAATACGAGGAGTACATCAGCTTAAAGGGGATCAACGACCCAAATGAAGGTTACGAAACCATTTCAGATCTTATGACTTTGCAGGATAAAATCGAAAGGTTTCAGAAACTGATTTTTGCGCATTTTCGAAATGGAGGCCACAATGAATGCAGAATATCGGCCTTGGTTCCATTGGTTCAAGAGAGTTATGGAATCTATAAGTTCATCACGAGCATGTTACGGGCCATGCACACAAGTATGTTAGGAAGCTCACATCTAACTGTCGTATTCTGACGTGACCTGCAGCAACTGGTGATGAAGATGCTCTTGCGCCCCTGAGAGAAAAGTACGATTCCCAACATCACCGCCTTGTAAAGTTTTATTACGAATGCTCTAACCTCCGATACCTCACGAGCTTGATTACTGTGCCAAAGCTACCACAAGATCCACCCAATCTCCTTTCCGAAGACGATTCGGCTCCCAAATTACCTCAGCGACCGAAGCATGAGATTGAGAGGCAAATTACACCCCCGAAACCCCCTAAGACAGAGGAGCCAGATGAAATTGGCGAGTTCTGGAAGAGTGAACAGGATCGACAAAACAGGGAGTATGAGGAACAACAGAGAGTGCTAGCAGAGCAGCAAAGACAACAAATGTTAGCACAACAACAAGCACAACTTCAAGCGCAGCAAAACTATGAAGAACAGCAGCGTCAACTGGCTGAGCAGCAAAGACGAGAGCAAGAACAATTGATGCTGCAACAATCTCAACAGCAAACTTATGGTCGTCTGGCGGAGCTCGAACGGGAGAACTTTGAGGCTCGAGCACAGTACGCAAGGGATCAGCTTGTGCTACAACAATTTGATCAGAAGATCAAGGCACTAGAGAATGAGCTCACGCAGCTGCAGAACAGTTATGGGCAACAGATTGGAAGTAAAGAGGATCAAATCAAAGCTTTACAAGAGCAAGTCAACACTTGGAGGACTAAATATGAAGCACTCGCGAAGCTATACTCACAATTGCGACACGAACATCTCGACCTACTTCAAAGATTCAAGAGTGTTCAGCTGAAGGCAGCTTCAGCTCAGGAAGCAATCGACAAGCGGGAAAAGTTGGAGCGAGAGATCAAGACCAAGAATCTTGAGCTCGCCGATATGATCAGAGAAAGGGATAGAGCTTTACATGAGAAAGACCGTCTCACCGGTGGAAATCGGGAGGAAGTTGAAAAGCTTAAGCGCGAGCTTCGTATGGCTCTCGATCGTGCGGACAATTTGGAGCGAAGCAAGGGCAATGAATTGTCCACAATGCTTTCCAAATACAATCGTGAAATGGCAGATCTCGAGGAGGCTCTTCGCAACAAGACCCGAGCGTTGCAGGATGTTCAAGCCAAATACAGCGAAGGGGGCTCGGATGCCGAAAGACTGCTCAAGGATAAGGAGGACGAATTGGAGGTTTACAAGCAAAGTTTGGACGACGCGCTAATCAGACTCAATGAGCTCGAGATGTCGAAAGGTGACACTGATCAGGCTTTAGATGGAGAGATTGATGCTATGCTCCTCTCAAATATTGACAAAATCAACGACATTATCGATTCAGTGCTTCAGAGTGGAGTTCAACGTGTTGATGACGCTATTTACGAGCTTGATTCCACTATGCAAGCTGGTAACCAGAATGCAACCCCATCTTATGTCCTTTCGCAAATTGAAAAAGCTTCAGCAAGTGCTACTGAATTCGCCACAGCATTCAACAATTTCATAGCGGATGGTCCAAACAGTACTCATGCTGAAATCATTCGAACTATCAACGTCTTTGCCAGCTCCATTTCCGACGTACTTAGCAATACCAAGGGTCTCACAAGGCTTGCGACAGACGACAAGAAGGCCGACCAGCTTACCAATGGTGCGCGCCAATCAGCGCAGTCTACTGTTACATTCTTCCGTGCCCTGCAAAGTTTCCGACTTGATGGCATGGATCCAATGCAACGAACTGAGGTTGTAATCAATAGCAACAATGAGGTACAAATCCATCTGCAACGCTTGAACAAACTTGCAGACACATTTGCGCCAAATAGCGGTAAACTTACGAACAATAAAGGAGACTTGGGAGATTTGGTTGACAACGAGCTTACCAAGGCCGCTGATGCAATCGCTGCTGCCGCTGCACGTCTAGCAAAGCTCAAGTCCAAACCCAAGGATCAATACTCAACATACAAACTTGAGATACACGATTCAATACTTGATGCTGCTATTGCGGTTACAAATGCTATTGCCAGATTGATCAAAGCGGCTACTGTTACTCAACAAGAAATTGTTCAGGCTGGTCGTGGCTCGTCATCCAAAACAGCTTTCTACAAGAAAAACAACCGATGGACTGAGGGTCTCATCTCTGCCGCCAAAGCAGTGGCAACATCAACCAATACATTGATCGAGACTGCAGATGGAGTTCTTTCTGGGCGCAACAGTCCGGAACAACTTATCGTTGCTTCCAATGATGTTGCAGCCTCCACAGCTCAGCTGGTCGCTGCTAGCAGAGTCAAAGCCGGTTTCATGAGCAAGAGCCAAGAGAGCTTGGAGCAAGCTAGTAAGGCTGTTGGCGCAGCCTGCAGGACTCTTGTCAGACAAGTGCAGAGCATGATCAAAGATCGAGATCAGGATGTTGAAGGAGAAGATTATGCCAAGCTTGGGGCGCATGAGTTCAAAGTCAGAGAAATGGAGCAGCAGGCAAGTTCTCTTGTACAAAAGTTTCTTTGGATTACTACTAACGCTTACGCTCACAGGTTGAAATCTTACAACTCGAAAACAATTTGTCGGCGGCGAGGAAGAGATTGGGTGAGATGCGAAAGATATCTTATTTGGAAGACTAGATCTTATGGCAGTGGTCGACGATGGCTCCTTACAGGCCGGCTGAGCATTACGCTTTGGTGGGAGGAAGCAAAAGGGCTGTACGGTTATTCTTTTAATAGGCGTGTGATATCCAGACTTCGTAGCAGTCCATTCATGGAAGATGATGGCACTTGTAGGGAATAAACACATTCGTGAAAACACTCTTGATACAAAAGTAAAATGAATCCTCTGAGTTTTGTACATCACCCTTTTCACCTAATTATCTTTTCTAGAGGTAGCAAAATCTGAAAAGACTTAATCGACTATCAATTATCCAGTACATAACGAAACCTTGAAATGCTGAAATGGTAAGTTCGACGAGTATAACAGAAGGCATCTATTTTTAATTTCCAAGACGATATCATTATACCAGCAGGAAGTTTGCAAGGATCTGATTGGCTCATAATGTGTGTTGCTTGTTAGACACCATCTCCACCAATTCAGCTGGAAATACCCCTGATTCGGCGCCAGGGCTTCGGAATAATAGCAGAGGAGTGTTCGAGCTCGGGTTCAAAGATTGGCATTGCAGACTTGAGTCTATAATAAGTGATGTTTAGAATATTTAAGATTATATGAGAATTGACACACAGACCTTCTACATGTTGAGATGAGAATTCCCATAAAACTATGAGACTATCAAAGATTGAGAAGTCAATCTGGACGACATCAAACGTTAGTAACTAATCAATGCTATCGTGTGACATTATGTGGTTGACCATCTCTAACTATCTCGGTTCCCAAAATGTACCCCTATCATTAACAAAAACTCAAGCGATTGCAAATCAGTTCATCTCAAACCTCATCTCAAATCACGTACTCCGTGCTCGTATTTATCCTTGTCGTTACCAAGTTAACTCCCCACACCTTGAAAGAGACTAATGTAATGTCTACAAAAGGTAAGCACAAGGTTACGTACTCGCATTAGTGGTACGCCGATTTAGTAATTGGTGCTTGTATCTCCACATGCTTATTCTTACGACATGTAATTCTTGGATGTGGTAGGAAATAAAAGGGAAAAATACACCGGCCTGACATCACCAACTATCACTATCAAGACTTATCATATGTCTCATTGCATATATTTCATAGAGAAGGAGAGAATTTGTTTAATCAGAAGAAGTATTCTCTTCCATCTCCAAGTTCTTTCAAAGTTCTAACAAAAGATAACTCTTTGTAAAGTTCAAACGAGCCTATAGAGAAAGAAACCCCAAATTTAATGCGATGTTAATGGATCAACCGAAACCTTTAACCCTTTTGGAAATATACAGGACCAGCGAGCTTGATGCTTAGCAGGTCATTTTGGAGTATATACCATTTCCAACTTATAAACAAATAGAAATGAAATCGATGTACTGAGACTGAAAACTATATACTGAGAATAAAAACTATATACTCGGAATGAAAACGAAGAGGCTTGAAGCGTAATAACGGCTCCAAGTTCTAATGTTAGAAGAATCCGGGGAAAATGCACCAAGTATTTCATCTAAAGACATGCTGCGCCAGCGAGTATAAACATTCATCCAACTCCTTAATTTTGGGGTAGCTCCATGCTGGTGTGTGTTGATAGTGGAGCCGAGATGATTAACATCGGTACCACGAAAGTTCGAACGAATATATAAAAGGAACTAGAAGTCTGCAAAGACTAAAGCAGTCAGTATGGTAATTTCAAGTGCCTGGTCGAATTAACTCACGTGGTGGTGAAGGGGCATCGTCAGGCATATAGAGGCCGCCTGCATCAGCGAGAGAGGTAGGGTTAAATTGGTCGAATCGGGTGTCAAGTGCACTGAGGTCGATAGTACCACTATCGTGACCCCAGTATCCAGCCATCATACCAGTGGACCAAGGAGGAGGTGGTGGTAGTGAGCCAGTTAATGATCCTGCTGCACCTGGTATTAGAGCAGGTGGAGTGTAAGCAAGAGGCTGATCGAAAGCTGGCTTCGGAGGTGGAGCAACGATGACACCGGAAGGCATTTCCCAGGCACCATATGCATTCTGAGTGGAAGCAATGTGCTGTGTAACAGGGAGAGTGCCTTGAATAGCCATGTTGGCCATTGGATGCACACGGTTCCAAACTTGAACAATGCTGGCAGCAGTCGCAGCTGGCAAGTAGCCTTGAGCACCACAAAAGGTGATGATGTCCAAATCTGTTAAGAGAGTTCTGGCGATGTGCGGTGGAAACGAACCGATCTCTGGTGGAGAAGTTTGGCAAAGACAGACAGTCACTTCTTCATTGGTTTCAAATGTCCAGTTGAGGTCGGAAAGATTATCATCGACAATTAGGGTACCAATGCGGAGACATAAGAGAGCAAGGTACTCGGGGAAGGTTCTTCTAGCATTGGTATCTCTCCAAGGGCTTAGAAATCAAGCAAATTCAGATAATCAGGCGTGAAGATTTCCGTATAACTACAAAACACTGCGGATTATATCTATAGTGCCTGCTCAGGTCAGCTCTTAATCTGGCAACACATAATTAGAGCTCAACCCAATAGTATCCATGCAATCCCCTTCCCCGCTTGATTCTTCTCAGACGCTTTCTCTTTATTAACCCCTTTGGTGTTGTTGTCTCCTTTGCCCAAGAGTTGTAGTTGAGTGGGAGGAGATGTGACATGGTTCTCGCGAAAGTGCGATCAAATTGTAGATTCCAAATCAACTCTGAGACTGCAATGAATTAGTATAAGTTGACACGGAAACATGGGCTGAGCTTACTCTCATTGTGTATCTCTTTACTCCTCTTCAAGAACGGCTCTATATATCCTACACCTGACTCGTCCTCAACATCGGGTTTGAACTCTCGCTGAAATATGTCATCTGCAAGCACGTTGCCCTCTGCTTGAGTCATTGTTCTGCCACGCTCAACTATGCGCTTTGCCACATCTCTTATGAGCGAGGTTTCGCAACTTCCGAGTTTCACCAGTCCCAAATCAGCTGCTCGCCTTTTAATCTCGCTGGAATCTTTTATCAGTAATATTCAGGAACAAGAGTCTCGATACTCACTTCTGTATGTAGATTCGCAAGGCAATCCTTTGACCTGCAGCGATTTTTTCTCTAAATGATGCTGAACCTCGTCCGTCAAAACGCAAGCCAAGAAGACCCGTTTCAATTTTCATAAAGCTATTGGCGAGGCTATTTCCGTGCCTAACAACATTTGATAAATCTCTTTGTGAGTGACGTTGCTCCGTGGTCATTTTGTCTTTTCGAATGTGCCCTTCACCTCCTGTCCCTTGAGAAGAATTATGCATCACGGTGTAATCAACATCATACACTATAGGATTTATTTCCGAAACGGCGTGCTGGGTTATTGTGTTGGAACCTGGCCGCTGGAATTCTTGTGAAAAGTCTTTCATATAGTTGAGGGCATCCGCTGCGTTTATCTTAGATCGTCTGAATGATGTCTCCACATCTCCATCAGCTTTTGCTTGTGGTTGCATTCCTGCGCCTTGCGATAACGATAATGTGTATGAATGTGGGTAAATGTGTATGATATTTCCATGTAGGTTGAAGGAAGACTTGCAGTATCGATCTATAGAAGTTACAAATCTTTGAGGGTATGGCAGCTGAGATGGCGATTTAGTCATTTCTGGCTCCGCAGTGTTCATGTTCATAGACCGAGCTATTCACCTTTATCCTCACCTTTATTACACTCACTCTTGAACAAAGAACACTTCAGAAGATGAATTAAAATTCGCTAGGAGGGGTTTCAAGCCGCAAGATTCTGCCAATAATGTTTTATTTAAACTTCCTTCTCGTCCGAAAAGATATACTTCCATCCACATCCTCTGATTTACAGACAACTACCATTTTCTGAATTTACACCTCTACTCAATTCTCTTTCACAACCAAGATCAGACGGAGTGCATTACCTCTTTCTTTTCTTTTTGAAACATTACATTGAGACTTTTCTAAAACATTGTCGCATTTACATTTCAAATATGTCTCTCTCCTCTCTCCGACTAGGAAAATGGGTACCGCATCACGGCACTGTTCTCGAAACGCCGCTCGCAAATGTGCCTTATCCCGCAGTCGATACTACTCCTGTGGAAGCTTATATGATTCCTGGGCTGACGAAGGAGATATATAATGCAATGCGCAATTTTATCAATGAATTAGATTTGTATAACGCACTCGACATTAACCCATGGTGTGAGCTGCGAGATTACGAATATATGAGTATCGGAACACCCGAACGTCAAATTCTACTTCATTTTTACCAGTATGTTCTCTCTGCTTCATATCGATGTCCCATCTAACAAACAATTGCAGGCAACACACCGATCGCAAGGGTGTTTTCGTCAGAGATGCCTATATCAACAGAATGTTCCTTGCTCCATTAGATGAGTTTGAGCATAAACAAATGTTGGCTGTTGCAGGTTTCGCCAATTTGTGTCTAGAACCTCTTCAGATTGAGCAACGAAGAATGATGAATGGCTCATGGGATGAAAATGGCTCTATCCTTCCTCAAAATACTGGAGCCACTCCTTGTTCTACTCCAGAAAAAAATCATCTTGCCTCATCCTCCATACCCACTGGTCTCAAGCCAAAGATCCCACGTCCAGCTAATGAGTGGATTCTTTATCGTGCGGACAATCATCTACCCATCAAGAAAGCCTATCCAGGTATCACCAACAACGAGATCTGTAAGTTTTCCCATTTGTTACGCGCTCTACTTCAACCTTCTAACCATTTTCCAGCTTCAATTATTGCTGGAATGTGGGCTGCAGAAACTCCGGAGCGGCGCCTGAAGTACAAGATCCGTGCCGATTTGTTGAAGGAAGCTCACAAGAAGGCTTACCCAACTTACAAATACGCCCCCAGAAAGCCGAGTGAGAAGAAGCGTCGTGTATCCAAGAAGACTCTCAATAAATCAAGCGCCAACCAGCTACCTCACAATATCAATTCCAACACCACCACCACCGCACCCTCCATCAACTATCCACTCTTAAATCACGACTCTACTGATGATACTAGTATGGGTACAATGAGCACGTTTGGGCTCAATATTCACATGGATCACTCCAACTTACTAGAGCAACAGCTTCAGCCTGAGCACTGCAGACTTTCATATGGTGACGAACCAATGGGTATGAACTTCGCGCCAACAGAAGCTTGGCAAACAGTCCAGCAACAGGATCTCTACACCTTCTTTTCCCCCCAACAACAATACTAGGTATTCTCTTCTCAAATATCACGCACTCGTCAGTTCTTCATGGCGTGACCTGTGTTTCACGACTTACGATTTATGGAAAGGAGTTGGAATTTGGACTTTGATGTCCTATCATTACTGCGATCATTACTGCACTCATTGCATGTACATATTTTTTCTTCTTCTTTTTTTCTTTCATGTTTATATAGTTTCTCGGATCCACAAGCTGCCATATCAGTTTGTTCCTCTGAGATCGAGCCTGTGGAATGGAAAGGAATGGAATCCAATTCATTGGATGGATTGTGAATACGGATTTGGTGAATGGTTGGAACTAAAAGCTGTACTTAGATTTCGCATACAGTTTACATGGTCTATATTATATATATACAGAAAAGACTTTTTAAACTTCATGATACCCTCTGATTGCTTCCTGCTCTGTGACAATGAATTGTGCTTTTTTTTCTATGTGCCTTCGATGACACCATTCATCGTTACGAAAATCTCAATATTTTCTCCTTCATCTTCATTCTGATAATTACAATTCACTTTGTTTTTCCGTGGGGATCCAATTTGTGCGATTGTGTGTGAGTTTTGGGGGGGCTGGTGAATATTCTTCGCTTGCCCTAATCCCAGTTCTCGCCACTAAGGGGGCTGGTCGTTGTGAAGGATGGATAATAAAGTGAATGCTTATTCAAGCGAATGGCTATCAAAGTGAATTAGTATCAAGTAAACTGGCATGATAGTGAATTGTGGACTCAGTGAATCTGAGAAGCGAGAATCTTTCTTTTCTAAGGAGTGAAGACTCATCTCGGGGACCTCGGGCATATGCTGAAGCTCACTCTTAGACAAGGCTAAGACATGAAATTTATGAAAGCAGATGATGATGGGTACCTAGGTAGAAGTTGACATTAGGATATACACAGATTTATGTGAAATGGGTGTTCTTTGATATGTATCACTGTCACCTTATACAATGTCTGCTTCTTGAATCCCTTTTGTGACTAATTATAAAACGTAGATACCATAGTAGACCGGCATGTGTGTGTACATAGATATTCTGGAATTATGTTATTATACTATTGGTATGACGGGTAAGGTAAACATCTCCTTCTTCCCGCCACTTGTTCATTCTTACTTCCTGCCTTCTGCGCTGGTTCTAATCTTAAGTTTCCAGTCTCAAGTTTCCTTCCCGGTCCACTCACTACTCCAAATAAATGTACTACAGCGCCACTCTGTGTTCTTTTCTTGCTGACCTGATGGTCCCAGAGGTCGAGGACACATGTAGAAAGATCTACCACGGTTGACGCCTTGCTTCTTCGTTATATGGCTGATACATGGCTCCTTGTGTTCGCATTTGGGTGGAATGCGTTTAGTCAATAGCTTGGACCAAGATTCTTTCGCTACTATGGGGTCGTGTACTTCTTTGTCCTGTCGTGATTCATATGACTTCTCAATTTCCTCGTCGTTATTTTTGTTTCCCTCGGCCTTAGGGGGCGAGTCATTTTCTGTACTACAGCCAGCAAGACACTCCTGACCCACCGATTCTGCAGGTGTTGCTGTTGAAGAATCACTCGTAGATAAGGAAGGAGAATCTGCCTGATGTGCTGTCTGTGCTGTCTGCGGCGTCTTAGATTTAAAAAACCCCATCAAACTACTTTGGCCTTTTCCCAATTGCCCCTTATTCCCCCTTCCACTAGAAGGTCCTTTGTTTGTTTTGGCTTCGACCTTACTGCGCTTTGATGGTTGTGCCACTAGTTGCAATGCATCGGTGGACCTCTTGACTGGTGTAGGCGAGGATGATGATATGAAGGGCTTTGCCGGAGAAGTTATTTTAGTAGGAGATGCTCTGAATGGACTAACATTATTGGATATGCTGAATGACCCATCCGTTTGTGCCGACTCTAGTCCGTTTCCAGCATTGGACGAATTCGAGGGCAAAGCAGCCGTCGTCGAGCTGGTAGACTTTCTGGTGAACATGTCACGAATACTCTGCCTTCGATCAAATTCTGGAATTAATTTGGCAGAGGTTGGCAGTAGATCCTTCATCGACCACTCCCGCACTCTCACTCCATTCTTAAACATATCCTTACTCATTACATCGCGGATATCGATCTCGACACCATCTAACTCCACTCTAGGCTTCAAGGTAGCGAAAACGGGACAGTGGTCCGAGCCCATGAGCCCCTCCTGAATATTTGAATCTTGAAACCAATTCTTCCTATCCTCGCTACATAGAACGTAATCGATCCTTGAGCCAAAGTTTCCAGGTCTGGCGTTCATTTTTTGATCCCAGCAGGTAAACATTCCCTTCCGTGTAGGATGAAAGCCGCGGCATATATCCCACATGACTTGTGGCTCTTTTCCTTCATCTCTGTCTCCGATTACCTTTCCTCCGATGAGCAAATGATTGAATAGTCGGCGAGCAGGTGTCGATATGTATTCATCCACTGTTAACCCTTCTTTCTTCAATTTCTCCTCTGCATTGGCTGTATCGATTTCCTCTCTGATAATATTAAGGTCCCCAGTCAGGAAAACACTCTTTCCTAGTGCTACAAGATTGCGTACTCGCGTATCGAGAGCATTCAAGAAGCCAATGCGGAACTCATCACGAGTTTCATCACGGTTCGCAGGGCAATATACACCAATGAGGATAAAAGCAGGGAATTCTAGGATAACACATCTTCCCTCCGAATCCAGAGTTGCGGCATCGAGGAAGTAGTCCTGGAGTTGAGCGCCTGTGGGATATCCTCCGATCTGCTGATCCTTTGGGAGGTCACGGAAGCTGGTTGTGGAGTTGGGAGGAGTTAAAACTCCCGTGATACCCTCCTCAGCACGTATTGGAGCGCACACTGAGTTTCTTGTATAGATGGCAACTCCAGAATATCCTTATGTCATAATGTGAGTACAAATCCAAAAAGTAAGAAAATCAGCATACCTTTCTTGTACTTTGGAAGACTGAAGTAGACGTCCCAGCCTGGCACTAAAACCATATCATCTCTGAGATCTTTCCGCTGAATTTTGGTTTCTTGCATCACTAAAATATCAGTTTCGAGGATATCGAACATTGCCTTGCACATAAATTAGAGTGCATTTTCACAACGGATTCATTCATGACTACTCACAGAAAAGGTCCTCTTCTCTCGCCATGGTTGATAACCAAATGGATTTCTGCTCATTTTTTAATGTCAGTTTACAGCATATAAATCAATTATTTTTCGAAGCTGCAAATCACCAACCTGATACCATTAACTGTGCTTTTGTTAGTGATGCATATTCGTGAACCACATCACACGCGCTTACCATTCCAAGTTGTAATTCTCAGCTCATGATTGCTATCATTGACTTGGTCCATAATTGCTATCTGTCGTTTGCATTAATCGTTTCTTTCCGTGTCGATTTGAGGGAGCTGAAGAAGCAGCCTCCAGGGTCCAGATAGAGAATCTCGATACGTAATTCGCAAATGCATCTCCCAAGAATTGAATCAAATGTGATGATTCCCGGTGAACGACGCACAGTTAAGAGAGACACAAAGACTGTTTATTTACATTACTTCATCCTGACTTAACCAGAACTTCGCGCAACAATAAATCTCACCGGCATGTGCATCTGCATAAGGTTCACGTCTCCACGTGACAGTAACCCAAAGCTGTCTACCGAATCGGGCGATTCCCGATGACCAAATACATGCCTTAGGCATCAACGGCAAGTTCTTGTTTCCAAGGTGGAGATACTCAAATTGGCAGCAACATACGATAATTCTACAGCGTCGCGGCGCCTAACCACACTACAACCTAGACACAATCGCAACCACCAAACAACAAACATGTTCTCTGCACGAGCAACCCGAGCAGCCGCCCAGCGCGTTGCCCGCCCTCAATCTATCCGAACCCCATTCCAAAGACGCTTTGCCAGCAGCGAGAGCACTTTCACCGGCGCCGAGAACAACGCTTTCAACCGTGAGCGTCAGGCTGTCAAGGACCATGCTGCCGCTACCAGTGGTACGTAAACACTGCCTCCTAAGATTTCGCGGAATTCAATGGCGGCAATACTAACAGAACCCGCAGATCTCTGGAGGAAGTTGTCAATCTAGTAAGCTATACACCACATGGACAAGTGCGGGGAATGGGAGACTGGTTGGGAATCATAAGGCAGGAAGGAAATCAAGGCTGATTATTGGGGTAGTGCTACGATTCCTTGCTTGATCATCGCAAGTGTCAATGCTAAGATCTTGTGGGATGAGCATTGGGCTCATTGGGACCACATGGAGCCTTTGGAGGAGAGACCTGAATACCCATATCAAAACATGAGAACTAAGAACTTCTTCTGGGGCGACGGAGACAAGGTAAGTTGAATCCCCTTGTAATTTTGCAAGATTTGTTACTAATTGTATTTGTAGACACTTTTGTAAGTTTTTACTGAATCCATTCCGAGAAAGCGAGCTCTAGTGGACCGCATTATCAAACTGTACGAGATTAATACTAATAATACATGATAGCTGGAACGAGAAGGTCAACTACCACAAGAAGGAGTAGATTTAATGATCAGTGTGGAATTGGTGCTTGCTCTGTTACTTCACTGGACAATGGGGGGTCTTCGGGAAGACGGGAGGTTGAACATAGAATGGCATTCATTAGATGTAGTCTAGTTTTTTGATCGTAACAATACTTCCCATTACCATTTGCATCATGACTTTTTCTACCTCAAGCTCCTTACCTATCCACGCTTGACTTGGTGATGTATGAACTCAAACATACTTTAGATATGCACCGCAGTTCTCTGCTGCTCGAGGTCCAAAAACGATGAGGCATAATCATTTGCCAATGCTTTGTCTCCCATAGCCATCATAACCATTGCTTTCTTAGCCCGTGACTCACATTGCCCATTGATATCCCCGATAGCACAGAATTCCTTGAAAGCCCTATCAAGGAAGTCCAAGGATTTTGTTAAATTCTCGGTTCTTCTTGGATCACCTGCTGCTGCTTGTCCTGCCAACCCCATGAATGACTCTGCAAGACAAGAATAAAGCTGCGCGCTAAGTGAACAATTCTCGCATTCCAATGCTCGAGGGATGATGGCGATGACGATTTGACAGGCAGCTTGAAACTCAGAAAGTGCGACCAGAATATTGGCCACAGCTCCCATTGCGGCCCAAAGTGCTGGCATCAAGCGTGCTCGCCAAGCTATACTTGCTGCACGAACCGCAACAGAAAAGCCTTTTTCTGGACGACCTGTTCTGCTTTGTAAGAGAGCTTTCATCGTCAGTATCTTAACTCGCAGGTTGATATCATCTCCGTGTTCCTTTAGCGAAGAGGCTAGTTGCTCCAATTTTGACAACGCGGCACCAAAGTCTGCTCGACGAACAAGGTAGTCAATGTGAAGGGTGCTGATCTCAAAGGAGAGATCCGAGTCCGCTTCAAGACCGTCGCATTGAAGTAGCTGGGATAAAATGTGATCAGCTCCCTCTAGATTGTTGGTATAGAGATCATTCCTAAGACGTAAAATTCCACGATACCTCAGCCAGTACTGATTGGCCTTCCATGAACGCAAAGAGTTGGAATCTAAACCCTCTAGCCGCTCTGCTGCTTGGTCATAGGAACCTCGTTCCATTAGATAATGTGCTATCCGGCAGGTAAACCTCAGTGTATCATCAAACAGGCCGTACTTAGCATGACATCGGAGAAATATCTCACTATACTGCTTGGACAGACAAACCAGTCCTAGGCGACCCCACAAGGAAGACTGCATAGCTGTTTGTGGCCCCATCATACTCTTCATACCTTTCTCCGTTACCAGATGAGAACTCTTAAGTATGCCCTCAAAAGCGCTCGCCACACTCTCCCCATTCGACAGTGTCAACTTTGCCTCACTGAGCAGTGAGGAGCTCCAGAGTGTCCACATACCACTCTCTTTAGCCTTAATCCGTAGGAACGCAAGCCCCTCTTTCTCAACACCTAGCATACTCGTTGAGCCAGAGCCTTCAATGATGTTTGGATGTGCCTTTCCAAAATGATATAACCAGTTCAGAGCAAAATTCAGACATGCCATGTCTTTGTTCTCTCTTGCGGTAGAGACAGTTTCCAGCATCGCGGCTACTGCCTCATCATAACATTCGAAATCAGCTTGAAGAACTGCAAGATTCATGAGGGCATATTGGTAAAACAATCGGTCTCGATTTTGCATCGTGTAGTCGAAATAGCGATGAAGGCTATCGAAGGACGAAGGGTAGTCGCCAGATCTCCATGCATCTAGAAAGCTAACAGGCTGTTAGCTTATACTGAAAAGTGGGGTTGTGTTGTACTCACGTCAGGTAGTGAGATAAACTGGGCGTGATTATACTATCATCCAGTAGGGACTTGAGCTTAGATTTCACCTCGATTGGCATTCTTGTACCCAGTTCTGAAAAATTATTAGAAATAGTCAGATAATGAATCCCAAAAACTTACTCTGCATCTGCTCCACGTGGAATTCGAGAAGCTTTTCCACATCATCAGTACTGACCGACCCAGCGGCGTTTTCCTCCTCCAGACCACCATAAGCTATGTGAGCCAAGGTTTCGGTCTCCTCAAGCCCCCAATCTTCCTCTCCTTCTGTGAGCACTCTATCGCCAGCCCAGATGCCAACCACGCGCCCTCTCCTAGCCCAGTATGCCTTTGACGGCTGTCTCCATCTCATGAAAGTCGTCCATAATTGTAGCACATCGCCGAACTTTAATCGTTCAAACTCAATCTTAGCTTTTCGTAAGAAGCTACCGAACGGTGATATACGAGACAATAGTATCATATCCCCTGAAGGTGGAGGAATCCCCATTTCACCATCCTTCTTAATGTCCTCCCGGGACTTGGCCAAGAGATTGTTCAGCCTCGCAAAAAATTCATGTAAGGCATCTAGACTGTCGACTTTCCAAAGCTTTGCAAGAAAGTGATCCCACAACGACCTTCCTGGATGCCCGGAAGCTGCGCTGTGTTGCTTGAGTAAAGTCTCGAAGGCTTCTAAATCGAGGACTGGATATTGTGGGGTAGAAGCTCTTCCTACTTGCTTGACCGAGCTTGATGGTAGCAACTGTGCAAGAACAAAAGAAAGTATAGATATTGTGGAAGATGTTGAGACAACGCCATCTGTATATAGCTCTATGAGTATGAGCAAACCGATTTTGGAAGGTGTCAAATAGCGTGTCATGGTCAAAATAATCCGACGGTTACTTTGCACATTGAAAGGCCAATATTTGATAAGTACATCCCACTGGAAGTACAAAATTATGATATCAGATAAATGTCAAGAGAACTGAGACTTGAATCTGTATTTGGGGATACATTTATTGTTACGGTTTGAGGAAGGAGGGAAGACGCGTCGAACGCGGTTGTCGCAAGATCTTGCTGGGTGGGCTAGCTAGAGTACACACTCCAAATGATTTACAAATAGCACAATTATTGTACGGTTTGTTGCTACGTGAAAACCACATTCATGGGTGAATAATTTGGAGATCATTAAAAGTTTTTATTGGATAATTGGGTAGATTCAATTCACAACCTAGTAGTATACGCGCAAAGCAACGACATTTGGTAGGGACGTCATTGCGTAGATGCAGTAGAAGCTCCAGCTCCGGTGGGTATAATGAGCCAGATCAATCTGAAGTCGATCAAATCCATTAAATTGATTATGAAATTGGTCATGAAGGAGTCTTATCAGGTTTATCTTCACCCCATCTGATTTTCTCGCCATGTTTGCTCTTCAATTGACCTTCTTCCTTTCTGCCATCCTCTTCGAGATCGGCTTCACTCAATCCATTGGTGGCCCAAATTCTTTCCACGCAAAGCTGGAAATCACCAGGAACTCTATCAATTAATCCTATCCCTACGGTCCGTACCTTTTGTCTCAACATTTCACCTTGTGGTTCTACGACAACACCATGGTTCGTCCGGACAAACTCATTCCACTTAATTAAAACTGTTTCCCACTCTCCTGGGCTTCGCGCATATAGTCTGTGTTGATGTATATCCGTAGGTACAATTGATTCCGTTTGTATGTTCACAAAATACTTCCTCCCGTCACTTTTTATACGTAGGGCAAGCAACCCATACGCATCTATGTTCCATAGTGATTTCCCAAATATCGTCGATGGCTGATCGAGAGTTCTCCAAGCCGCATAGCCACTGCGCTGGATTTGGGGTCTGTTCGGGGGTAGGTCTATTGAAATGTTCCCATGGAATTTAACATGCCCATTCTTGTTTTCGGAAGAGCTAGGGTTTGGGTTCTCGGAGGGGGGTACCCAGTCGAAATGCACTTTTGAAAAGCCTCCCATATCAGCATCAGAGAAGACTTTACAGCGCTTTAGGGATTCGGGATTGTGGAAATTTGCGAGATGTAATGGAGATGTAGCTCTTCTTGTGCCTTCTGCGGTGAGTGCTATAGAAATTAAGTTAAGTAAGTTTGTCTATATTTGAGAGTTGAGCTATCTGGAAGATTTACCACTTATTGATAAACGTTTAAACTCATCTACACTTCGACCAAAGAAGCCCTTGGAAAGAGGAGGAGTGATCCTCATGATGAAGGTTTTTGATATTGTTTATGTATAATCAACAAAGAATGGGATTGTCAATTGTGCTCGAAGAACCCTATATGTGTCAAGTAGTAGTAGTATACTGGATGCTTGCAGTTGAAGTAAGTTGAGTAGTGTATTGTTGTGAATATGGCCTACATATGGCAATTACCTAGGCTAGGTTGTACAATAAAGCTTTGATATTTGCTCCCAAGCTCCCCTCCCGATGATCGGCTGCCCTTGATTATCTCTCATGGTTAATTTGGGTTGTTGCTTTTAAGTGCACGTGCTAGCTGGTTGTCCTGCTGCTACACTCGGAGTAACTTCGGAGTATGAGGGGCATTTCAATAAAATTTATAAATATGAATTGAGTCAGTAGAAATACTTATTAAACTTTACATAACACAACTACATCATAACAAATCCAACAACATTCAACAATAAACAATCTTACTCAAGATCACCCAACAATGACAGACTCAGCTCTTACCACATTGACCCTTGATGGTCTTCCAAAGATCGCGGAAGGGAAAGTTCGAAATCTCTATGAGATTGATGAGAAGACCCTCCTGTTCGTTGCATCCGATCGCATTTCAGCTTATGACGTGATTATGGAAAATGTATACTTTCCTTCTCGTACTCAAGGACCAGAGCTAATGATTTATATAGGGTATCCCCTCCAAAGGCGCACTTCTCACTCTCCTTTCCGCGCATTGGTTTGAGGTCCTCACAGGTCTAATCCCTAATCTCAAAACTCACTTCCTGACTCTCTCCCTCCCCTCCTCCATCTCCTCATCCCAACACTCACTTCTCCGAAACCGATCTATGCAAGTACGTAAGCTCAAAATTTTCCCCATCGAGGCCATCGTACGTGGTTACATTACTGGTTCCGCCTGGAAAGAGTATCAAAAGTCATCTACTGTCCACGGCATTCAAATAGCTGCAGGCTTGCAAAATTCCCAGGCTTTCCCCCAAGGAGCTATCTATACACCTTCTACCAAAGCCGAAGGTGGCCAAAATGATGAAAACATACATCCTTCAGAGGCAGCCAAGATTGTAGGTGAGAAGTATGCGCAGCGCATCGAAGATTTGGCAATCAAGCTATACACTACTGCTCGGGATTATGCTGCAGAACGTGGCATTATTATTGCGGACACCAAATTTGAGTTTGGATTGGACGAGGAAACCGACGAAGTCGTTCTTGTAGATGAGGTTTTGACACCCGACTCGAGTAGATTCTGGCCTGCGTCCAAATACGAAGTTGGAAAGGAACAAGAAAGCTATGATAAACAATTCTTGAGGAATTGGTTGACGGTCGAGGGCCTCAAGGGCAAACAGGGAGTTGCAATGCCAGAGGATATCAAGTCGCAAACAGCTGAGAAGTACCGCGAAGCATTTGAGAAATTGACCGGCAGAAAATGGGCAGATGCTCTCAAGGAAGACGAGTCTAAATGAACGTACTACATATGAATACATAGACAGCAATGAGGTATACCCCCCGGAGATGCTCTTAGATAATACGACCCTCTTAACAATATCATGCTGATCTAAATACAAGTCTTGAATTACCTGTACTCTGTTGTGATTTCTTGGGAGAGGAAATGGCCACTGTAGGAAGTCCACTGTAGTCAATTATTTTCAGAGGCAAATGCATATGAAGAAATCAACATCTACCAAGTAAGTACTAGGTACTTTGTAGATGACAGCTTCAATATAATGCTAGGTAGACAGCTCTCAAGAATGATCAAGGCATCATTCTTTTACCGAGAGAGAAGAAAGAAACCAAGGTCAAAACTCTTCTTAATTTTTCCCCTTCAATGAATTCGATGCAATTCCCACGGTATCTAGAGCCGCAAAGTATTCTGATGCAATTGAGTCGAATTGCTTTTTGGGGGGGCACAATTGACATGGCATGATCTTAAAATTTGTAGTCAGAGATTCAATGGCTTCATACATACCAGGTACCACTAGGTACCTAGGTAGTATCCAATTCAAACCGTAGAGTTGTTGGCGGAGATCAATGAGGAGTTCCAAGCTACCGATGGCAATCTCGATTTCGATCTTGAGACGGTTTCCGCGGAATCGAGCCCCGCATTTAGACGGAACCACTTCCCCACGAAGATGAAGAGCCTCAAGATTTCATGGTACATATGAATTTGCTACCTACACGTACCTAGATGTTTATGAGTTCCGTGTCAATATGGATTGATTGAATTATTGTTTAATCTACCTCGATAGGTAGGTGAGGAAGTGAGAATAGAAAGAATGTTCCAAGAGGATTAAGAATAGATTTCCTATAAGAGCTTCTAACTATTATACCAATGTCACTATGGGAGATCATCATCGTTATCATTACCAACGTCAATATCAATACCGGTACAGAACCAATCAATCATTTGTTAAGAAGTATTCATGCAAGTCTTATTTAGTAGTCCATCTGAAAGGGAAGGAAACTTAGGAATTACCGGTACATCCCTACTTATGAGGGACTCAAGTTGCTCCGGAATCATCAATGTCCTGTGAGATCAAGATGAAGAATCATTTCTTTGATCAATGATCAGTCAAAGTAAGTGTAGGGAGGAATGAATGCTTTGTATCAAGTCTGGGTGTTTTGGGGCCTAAGTGTTTATGCGTAGATGTGTCTGTGTCTTTCGTTATGTGCCTGCTTAGATGTACCTACCTAGTATGGATGTAGGTACTATGTAGATACTGAGTAGGTAGGTAGGTAGGTAGGTAGGCAGGTTGGTAGTAGGTATTAAGTACTAGGTAGGTAGGCACTCACTCCTCACTCACTCCTCACCCACTCCTCACCCACTCCTCACCCTTATTTATTCCCGGCTCATCGTTCCTTCCCCTTTCAAGGATTCCCTTGGGACGATATTTCCGTCTCATTCCCGTTTGGCCCTTTTCGCCTTTTTCGCCCTTCTCACTCTTTCCTTCCTTCCCAACTCGGGCCGTTATATCCATAATCCATCTATCCAGGTACTTGTGTCCGCTTAATTGTAAACCATCGCACTTTCTAGAAATCCAATATAAATAAAGCTTCATTTGTGAATCTGTTGATACTTTCCTCTTCCCAAAAACAACACACTTTTTCCACATATACCATTGTTTCCCCCCTTTTCTCTTGTTTCCTCCTCCATCTCGACTCTTTCCATACAATCTCTTCATCTCTTCTCCCTTCCGACAATCTTCTTTCCTCCTTTACTCTTTTCTCCTTCCTCTTTCGCCGATTTCTGTACAATTTCTATCCGGCCTGTTGACCGCAACAGAGCACAATTGTTAAGCTACATCTGCACAACGCTTGTCATACTTTTACTTTTCAATTCATAATTCCTACACTTTCTTCTTCTCGGTATTCAAGCTCCATTTAATCATGTCGCCTGCTACTCCCTCTTCAACTGGTGGTGGCCATGCCCTTGGTATGCACTCAACCTCATCCACCTCCGGTTCAAGTTACGATACGTCTGGTCCGCATTCTGCACTTTCTTCTCAGATTGAGCCATCGCCTGCTAGTACATATGGTAGTTCTGCTGCCAGTGATTCTGGTATTCCTTTGACTCCTGACAATGACGGTACGTGTTTCTTCTCTCCCCTCGCCTCCTTTTCTACTGTCTTCCCCCTTCATCAAACATGTTCCTTCAATGTCGCACCATGCATTTTTTCACTTTTGCAAGACACCATCCTCCCCTTCATGTTTTTATACCACAATTCGCACCATCATGAGTGCATCCAATACATCTTTGCTCAAGAAGGTTGCCGAATTATATGAACCATTTATACGCTATACTTGTATACTGTGTTTTCATTTATATCTGCCATCCTAGCATCGTTCTTCATCTTCATCAAAATCCTTTCGTCTTGATTTAATCATTCACAAACTCTTGCTAACATTTTTTCAAAGGCGCACTTCTTACCAACGTTGCTCGTCTTAGCATTGATGATCATAGTGATGTTGGAGACAATGTCAGATCTTCCGGTCACCACTCTACCAGTGGTTCCAGAAACTCCAATCTGTAAGTCCCCAAACTCACATGCCTTCTAATTCTTCATCTACTAATACTTCCAGTTACTCACCACCATTTGTTCGCAATGGCTCTCAGAGTAATGCTGATGATCCATTTCAATCACCAAGCAAGAATGGCTCAAAGTATCGCAACCATGATCAGCATACTCCCAAGGCTCCAAGACATTCTCAGAGAGATATTCATGGTCCTTGGCGCTCAAGAAGCTCAAGCAACAGTTCCGAGTTGTCACCATCAAAGTCCAAGTCAAGCCACGCTGGTGCTGTTGACACCAACTACGGTGAAACCAAGCGCAAGCTCTCCTTTCATGTTCAAGAGCACGTCTCTGAAGGAACCGATGCTGCAGGTAACAGACTTAGTGGATACACTGTTGTCAAGGCTGAGGATGCACAAGCTGTCTACCCCCCTTCTTGTTGTGTTTTCGTTGCAAAGTAAGTCTTCTACCTTCTTTCCTTTGGTGTTTCTTTTTTCTTCACAATTTTCCTAGGTGATTGATACTAACCTTTCGCAGTCTTCTTCAATCCGAAAATGAAGACTCTCTTCAAATGGCTGTCACTCAAGTCTTCCGCGAATATGGTCCTGTCTACGTCAAGATTCGCCGTGATAACAAGCATATGCCTTTCGCATTTTGCCAATATACTGTAAGTTGTTATCATGATGTGCTTCTTCTCTTTGTATCTGACTATTACTAGAAGCAAGAACATGCTGAGAGAGCTATCAAGGAAGGCAGAGGTCGTTTGATCAAAGGCCGTCCATGTCGCTGCGAAAAGGCCAAGGCACATCGTAAGTTGGTCGTTCTATATAACGTCATTCGTACTAACGCTTTTCAGGTCTCTTCTTCATTGAACGCAAGTATGGCCCGGTCGTCACTCCGAGTGAAGCCAGAGATCTTCTTAAGCGCTTTGGCAAGATTGAACTTTGTTACACTGCTTCTCACGTAGAGCGTACTGCACTCAACCTCAACGAAGGCGTCATCGTTCAGTTCGAAATGTACGATGAAGGTCAAGATGCTCAATCTGTAAGTCCAAGTTTTATGCTTCACACACTTAGTGTTCATGCTAACTTGGTTCTAGGCTTTCCGCAACCATGATCTTTACAAGCTTCAACCCATTGCAGGCCTTGCAGCACCTGCTCAGCAGTCACCACCTGCCGCAGAAGTTGATGCTACCAAGGCATACTTAGCAAGATATGATGTTGATCGTCGCTCAATTTTCGTTGGCAACCTTCCATTAGGTACTTCGGAGCAGCAAATTCGAGGCCTCTTTGAGCACTATGGCGATATTCAAGACATCAGTCTACGAGAGAACGCATCTAAGTTTGAACGTGAGTTGCCCCCTTCTTTACTGAATATCCACAAACTGACCCGCCGCGTTTTTAGCAGAAGAGAAGTTTGCTTTCGCTTTTGTCGAGTTCAAGTCGCCAATTGCAGTTGTCAATGCTGTTAATGCAAAGGTAAGCAAGAGATGCCTTTTACCTTTTTTTTTTTAACTCAGCTAATATTGCCATAGAACGGTTTTACTTTCGGTGGAAAGTCTCTACGAGTTGCTCAAAAGGACTCTGAAAATGGTGGTAGCAGAGGTAGATCCTCCAGATCGCAGCCTTTGTCTTCCACCCGATCATTCCAGTCTCCTCGTGTTGATCGACATGTAGAGCAACAAGTCTCCCCATCTGCTCAGATGTCTCCAATGGCTTATGCTTCACCTTACGGTTACACTGCTTATAGTCCGTACTATGGTTATGCTGCTCCCTCAACTGTCTTCACTGATGGTCAAGGCCATTACTACAGTAGTGCTACATCGTATTCGCCAGCACCAGCATACTACCCAGGCTATCCTGCTAGTCCTGGATATGGCATGCGAAACCCAGCAGTAGCAACTGACTTGACCGGCAGCCCCGCTGCTCCGTCACTATACTGCAGTTATGCTCCATACCAACAATATGCACCGGCTCCATACTGGGGTATGCAAAGCCCACCAGCTGATCAGTTGGCTTCGTCTCAACAAGCATACTACCCCTATTCACCTGTTGATGTTGGTAACAAGGCTCATGATGATCGTTCAGCAACTCCCACTCCAAGTGGTCATGCCGCGGTTGTTGAGTAATCTTCCCACTATTAACAAAACCCTTCTATCAGAATTATCATTCGCAGTCACTGCCACAGTGGTACTCGTTCATCTTCATGATATTTGGGCAGCATGTTCCTTCTTACTTTCTCGGTTTTACGGCATAAACTTTAGTGGCAACCTGGTTGTGTCTTGATGTTTATGACTACTAATTTCACGGAGTTTTACGGCATTTCTTCATCTTTGCAGGGATTTGGCTTCATCTACTGTTGTGCAGGATTCTTGTCTACTAGTCAATCATGAAAGAGCATTGTGGCTCCTGGTCTGCCATTTATATGGTGACCATCTCCCTATTGATTCTCTTGCTCCTTTGGACAAGATAGACATAGGATAGAGTCTTTTCGATTTGAACAAACCATGTACCATCAATCAGCTAAATCTTAGCTTAGGTAGAGTGAAATAAAAGCATTACCATTGTGAACGTAGCTCGATTTTGTAGTGATAATATGCATGCAATAGTGACTAGTGATAAATACATGATGATGCAATATCAGATAAGCGCTTTGAGCGCAATGCCATAGAATGTGAATTAATGTTCACTACAAAGCCTTGAGTTGGTATATAGATAATGGCATTATAATCAGATCTTACTGTTGTATGACTTCCAGCACAGTCTGCGGGAGTTGATCTCTGGACAGACAACTAGGCTATGTACTCCTCATCTGTGATCTGTATTGATAGAAAATCAGGGCAAATGTAGGCAGGATCATACAGAAAGCTGTGCAATTCCGGAGGCCATAAGCGTTTGACAAACTATAAGCAAATCCAAGTGCCGAACAGAACAGTCGCTTTCGGCATGTTGTGGTATTAGATTAGGGATGTGGTAATCTTGGGCTGCGGAATAGAAAAGAATCATGTCACTAGCGGAGAGAGTGTGATACCCGGGGGCTGAATGGCTGGAAGGCTACAGAAAGGCATTGGAAGTTCGTGGTGGTAAATGATGATTTCTGACCGAGAGCACGGAGAAACTGTGAGTAGGTGTTAAGAAGGAGGATCTGTGGATGTTGTGAGAGGATGAATGACGGATGTGTAAGGGGGAGAGAGAGGCGGAGAAAATGAAGAAGCGTATATTCTGGGAGATAGGAACCACTGGATCAATCTCTGCTGTTACTAAAGTAATTTCGCATCCGTCCCGGATTCACAGCTGTCTGCGCCATGCTTCTAGAGAGAATTGCTG